TCTGGCTACTATGGAGTGACAGGGTGCGGGTTGAAGTCTTGGAGTTCTCTAGACAAATGGTGCACATTCGGGCGAGCAAAGACGGTGAGGTCTGTACTATCTCGTTTATATATGCGAGCCCCAATCCAACTTATCGCCGCCAGCTATGGCCTGTGCTGGAGAGAATTGCGAGGAATACCACGGCGCCGTGGCTTATAGGTGGCGATTTTAATTGCCTCCTCCACCCGTCTGAGAAAGTGGGAGGGTCTCGTCACTCAAGCAACACAAGCAAGGAGTTTGCGGACTGGATGTTCTCATATGGAATTCAAGAGGTGGCTACGGACGGTCATGAATACACGTGGGTCAGGAATAGCCAGTTGGGAAGGGTTATGGAAAGACTTGATAGATTCGTAGCAAACACAGCATGGATGGAAACATTTGAGGCCAGCAAGGTTCGGCTTCTCCCCCGCATTCAGTCGGACCACTCACCTCTTTTGGTTACAATTGGACGCTCGGAGTTCGTAGCACAATGCGTGAAGCCTTTCCGGTTCTTAGCTTCGTGGCTCACTCATCCGGAATTCCCGGCCATGCTGCAAGACTCTTGGCAACCTTCACTTTCTTTCGTGGATGCGGCAAGGCAATTCGCTCTTAAGGCGAAGGAATGGAACGCCACGACTTTTGGTAATATTTTCACTCGCAAAAAGCGACTCCTGGCGCGCATTGGAGGCATACAACGAAGCCGGAATTTCTATTTTTCAGCTAAACTCACGGCGCTAGAGCATGAGTTGAGAGCGGAGCTAGACGATGTTATCCTCCAGGAGGAACTCCTGCTCCTCCAGAAATCCACGCGAGATTGGATGCACTTGGGCGATAGGAATACGTCTTACTTTCATCGGCAACTCAAGTTTAGACGACGAAGTAGCAGAATAATGGAGTTGGTAGACGAGGCGGGCCACCGTATCACTGACCAGCAGGCCCTTCGACAGTTAGCCACAAATTTCTTTAAAAGCATCTATACGGGAGGAAACTCTCCAACCACTGCTGAGGTTACACCCAATCATTTCCAAAGGTGTAGCATGGAGAGGGTGCAGGCCATGAAGGCCGACATCTCGGACGAAGAAATCTTCTCGGCCCTTCAAAATATGGGGTCCCTTAAGGCCCCGGGGATAGACGGGTTAAATGCTTTGTTCTTTAAGAAGAACTGGGCCACTGTGGGACAGTCAGTGCGGGAATTTCTTCGGCTCATGTGGGGGAATGGCACTATCCCTACCGAGATAAATCAGACTTTGATCGTTCTCATTCCTAAGGTCGAACATGCCTCATCCATCAAGCAATTCAGGCCTATAAGTCTATTGAACGTCATTTACAAATTGTACACCAAGGTGCTAGTCAATCGTATGAAAGACTCTCTGCCTGACCTCATCCACCCAGCACAGGCAAGCTTTGTCCCGGGCCGTCAGATCATAGATAACATTGTCGTGGCTCATGAACTAATCCACTCGATGCGCCGCAAGCAAGGAGCGAAGGGACACATGGTTATCAAAGTTGATCTCGAGAAGGCTTATGACTTCCTTCGCTGGGATTTCATCGAAGAGACCCTACACCTCGCAGGGTTTCCTACTGTACTGATTGCGGCCATCATGGCTTGTGTGAGGTCAGCATCGATGCGTTTGTTGTGGAATGGGACGCTCGGGGAGGAATTTTTCCCCTCTAGGGGGGTTCGACAAGGGGACCCTATATCCCCTTATCTTTTTGTGTTGTGCATGGAAAGACTGGCGCAACTTATTGACGAGGCGGTGAACCGGCACTCTTGGAAACCGATATCGATTGGGAGAGGGGCGGTGTCTGTGCCGTTTTTGATGTTTGCCGACGATCTTCTTCTATTCCTGGAAGCCTCGTACGAGCAAGTAGGGGTCTTGCACCAAACTCTTGACCACTTCTGCGACATGTCGGGCCTGAAGATTAGTGCGGCTAAAACGCAAGTATTTTTTTCACGCAATGTGGGGCTTGAAGACCAGCACCGTTTGGCGGATGCATTACGGTTCAAGTGGACCGATAACCTTGGGAAATATCTGGGGATGCCAGTTATTCATGGACGGGTCACCAAGTCGACATACTCTCATATCCTGGACAAGGCGGAGGATAGGCTTGCCGGATGGAGGATGAAAACTCTTTCGTTGGCGGGACGTGTCACCCTCACCCAATCGGTGGTCAGCTCCTTACCTACTTTCTCCATGCAGGCGGCTTTATTGCCAACTGCCATCACCGAAGGTTTGGAGCGCCGCAGCCGGGCTTTCATCTGGGGCGGCTCGTCCGAGAAACGTAATATTCATCTAGTGGCATGGAAGGACGTTTGCAAATCAAAGGAGGAAGGGGGCTTAGGCATTAAGGATCTTCGTAAGATGAACCACGCGCTGCTAATGAAGCTCGGCTGGAGTCTTATGACAAAAGAGAACACGTTGTGGGTCCGTCTTATGAAAGCCAAATATGGCCTGGATCCATCGTACAATTTGGAGACCCCACGGTGTCAACGAGGCTCGCCATTAATGAAAGCGCTTTACAAGGTTTGGCCCGAAATTTTAAAAGAGACCCGATGGTCTGTCGGAAGTGGAGAGAAGGTACGTTTTTGGCTCGACCCGTGGGTTGGCCCATTAGGACCACTCATCAACCATACATATCGGCAGCCACCTGAAGAACACCTTTGCTTGAAGGTGGTAGATTACGTGGATGAAGTTGGTTGCTGGCGATGGGATGCTTTCCATGGTTTCCTCCCCTCCGTCGTCATTATGAGGCTTGCCGGAATCGCCCCGCCGAGGGAATCTGCTGGAGAGGATCGGATTATGTGGGGAGCTTCTCACGATGGGCAATTTTCGACACGAACAGCGTACGAAACTTTAGCCCAATCGGAGACTGATCCGGATCGCACCCTTTGGAAATTAATTTGGAGATCTCCGGTGCCGCAACGTGTTCGGACTTTCTTGTGGCTGGCAGCCCGGGATCGGCTCTTGACAAATGGTGAACGGGTCCGACGTCATATCGCCTCTTCCCCAGAATGTGCAATATGTGGCGCCTTTGAATCAACACTACATGTCCTTCGAGATTGCCCGACGACTAAGAACATGTGGCGTAATCTGCTCTCGCCGGACATTGAGGGTCATTTTTTCCATCTGGAGCTTCGATCTTGGCTGAGGAGTAATTTGAGCGGGGCGCCTTTGGGGATGCGTAAAAACTGGAGCAGCATATTTGCTTTTGCTGCGTGGGGTTCCTGGAAAAATCGGAATGAGAAAACCTTCACTGGCAGGTGTCTTGGCAGCGAGGCTCGACGTTTAGATGCTTTACGTCGATCGGAAGGATACGAGAAAGCGGTAGCAGCATACGCAAAGGCGGGAGCTGCAGTTCATACGCTCAGCTTGATTAGATGGCATCCACCGGACCCGGGATGGGTCAAAGTTAATACTGATGGGGCGTTCAATCGCACTTCAGGCATGTGCAGCGCGGGTGGGGTGATTCGTAATGAACTCGGTCGATGGGTCGAAGGCTTCCTTATGAATATAGGGATTGGCACTATCACCGGAGCCGAGTTATGGGCTTTGTTTCAAGGGTTACAACTGGCTTGGGATCTGGGGCTCCGAAAAGTAGTGGCTGAGGTCGATAGTCGATGTGTGACACAGATGGTGCTTGGACCCAAAGAACATTTTGGAGTCCACGAGTCTCTTGTTAGATCCATTAGAAGCCTACTTGGAAGAGAATGGAGCATTCGGATCCAGCATGTCCACCGGGAAGCCAATTTCGCGGCTGACCATATGGCGTCCTTAGCGGCCTCTGCCCCTTTGGGGCTTCAGAGACTCTCGGAACCTCCTCAAGACTTGGCTGAATGGCTTGACCACGACTTTCGTGGAGTGGCTCACCCACGTCGGATTCTAGTTTCATAGTTTAATCTTCAGGCCTCGGCCTCCTTCTTTGTACCA